GACAAAAGCATGAACTATCAGAAAGTTCTGTTGTACGATCAGTCGTAGACATGTCCTGTTAGCGTCTGTTTCAGAGGACAAGAGATGTGAATATCACTGGACAAGAGGTCACTGGTGATAAGATGGTGACTGTTGCACTGCCAACAGATGTCTTGGCCTTTGAGATTCTCTTTATCACAGGCTTATATTTCCACTGCATGCTGGTTCCCTTCACTCTGGTCTGTCTTGCAGTTGCATGTAGGCATATACTAAACTTAAACGCAGAAATGTAACACATTACAAGAATGACAAATGTTTTTACCTACTGCATCCTCTTCTTATCCCTAACAGAAGACATCCACCAGTTCTGCTATGAATTTACCACATTACAATCAAAATCCCAGTGTTTTACCTTTGTTCCTTACATTCTTTGACATCCCTCTTAGCAGTTCACCAGCTGCAATATCAGTTCGAAGGGGCTTTAAATTTTCAGAAACCAAAAGTAGTTTTGCTTGTTTTCAAACAAATTACAGCAGAACCTCCAAAACATTTACCTCGATTAATGTTAAATATAAATAATGCCAAATCAGTAACATTAATATCAAATGACCTCCATTTAAGTTTTTCCTCAGTTTAGTGTTCAAATTCTTTGCTTCCTGAAGAAACATTCAACGGAGGCTTCACCACAATGTACAGCTGGTCGGACAGAGGTTGGAAATAAAAGTGATGTGTAAGGGTTAATAAATGTAAAGTCTTGCAAAGTGCTGAAGCAGCAGCCATCCTGTAGCTAACCTCCTGAAGGTTATTCAAGCATCATGCACAGCACATAAACAATAACTTTTTAAGTAAAAAGTGATAACAACGTTAACATTGAAACCGAGTTCAAGAATATAAAATACCAAACAATATATAAATGTGACATGCCCACACCCTCCCAAAATCATGGAACATATTCGTTATTGTACCAAACTAATTCCAGAACAAATCTCATAACTGGACAGTTTCTCAAACAGATGTACTGCAGATATGAATGTGTGGCAAATAACATACACAACTGGAGTACAGCCATGTCCAGACAGGCACAAAGATTGCTTCTATTACGTGAGTGGCACTCCACATGTGGAGTGCGGCCACTATTAAACATATAACCAGTTGCAGACAGCCAACAAGGGGTCCTCCTCCAGCCTGAAGATTTCACAAATGGCAACTGCGCCTCACCGTTAAAAGCCTTACTCATTGCAGAAATGTTACAAAAGTTCAGTGTTTGGGCAGATTCCTATGCACTGATCTGGCACAGTGGAGCACTCTTGTGGGTATGAACAAACAACCTTCAGGTTCCACGAAAGGGGAGAATTTCTTGACTAGTTGAACTACTAGCTTTTCTAGGACTCTAATCTACAGGGTTACCACATTAACTATCAATTTTTGCAGGAAAAATACAAACATAAAAGACTACTTTAGATATTGAAGTACAAATAAAAGGATAATGCTGACATGCTTCAGAGTAATTAGACAGGTTTTGGACTGACAACTAACTGCATTTACTGGACTCTTACTTCACTACACTTCACAGACCACTGTTACACACAAACCTTTGCCCTCAATCATGTTGCTTAGCAGTGGCTTCCAACAGTGGATGTTCCTCTACTACCAGGCTCACATCCTCACACCAACCTCCTACTCTTCTAACTCTTAACTCTTAACAGCAGCTGATACTCATTATATGGCCTTGGCACAGACTGCAATCGTTGTTAAGCTGTTTACTGTGCCATATCCTAGTAACGGCTCACATTGCTCCCTCCTTAAGGCTGCTCATCCCAAGTAGCCTAATCGTGTCACAGTTCCATTTATGAGAATATGCGGGCGTGGCCAGTGCTCCTACGGCAGCAGCACACAGGCCGCCAGTTATCTCTCTTCCATCTGGGTGGGGGCTGATTTCTCCAGAATATCCCAGTCACGCATTCTCCACAGCCCGACGAAAATTCAACTGCTTGCTTCAGCTCAGAACCTTCAGTCTGAGAGTGGCTGATGGTCCTACTGAATGTCCTCTTGCCTCCTAGATGTAGCTGCTTTTAGGCCTAAGTTCCTGACATCACTGTTGCATTCTGGGGCCTTCCGTCATCTCTTCTTGACAATTGGTCCTTAGGACTACAGCTCTTATGCCGTGCAGGAGTGGCAAGGTGGGTCAACTGTCAGTGGGGAGCAGCCAACTTTTGCCAGGATCCATCATCACCTTGGGTCCATTTCTTTGGCTATCGGTGGCACCCTACAGCCAGATGCCGGTCCCCGCATGTCATCCCATGTTTCAACTGCGTCCACTGCGCCCTCTTCATTAGGGACTTCATGGTTCTCCAATATTATTTAATTTCTTTGGGACTTGCCTCCATCTTTTCCAGACAGGCCTCAGCATGGCGTTCATTTTCTCATTCCTGGCTTTTATTTCTTCTCAAGATGAATTCGCCTTGGCCAACATCTCTTCTTGACTGGCTTTCAGTTCTTCAAAGTGGACTTTCATTTCAGCTCTCATTCATATGACAGATGCCAGACACTAAAAATCTGCTATGATATATATGTGATATGTCACATGGGTTCAAATCTTACTGTGCACAATACACACAGTCCAACTCAATCCAGTCGATTTGAAACAATCCAATCCAATCCAATTATCCGGCTTCTGACACCAGCTGCCATGCAATAAGATTGACTACAAACAGGTTTTGGATTGATAACTGGATATATTGTACACTTACAGATCACAAACACATACAGATTACTGTCCTGTCACTTTGCTTGGCAGCTGCTTTCAACGGCAGACACCTCTGCTCTCAGTCTCATCTTCCTGCTGGCCATAAGCTATTCCACACAAACCTATTCTTCTGAGGACTTCAGACTGCTCCTCTTTGTTCACTCTCTGTATGGACCACACAGAAAACACGGCCCTCAGAAGTTCTTTCATTGTTGCATCATGTCTCTAATGGTATGGACCACAAAGTTTCCCCACTGTTGCCTTACACATCTGCCACCTGGCAACGGCTGCCTTCCTGGCTCCACAATTCTTGCATTCAGCAAATATGCCACAATATTAAAATGGATTTGAGAATGTAACTGAATCTCTCTGGCCCAAGCTAGGCTTTAGGGGTTGGAGAAAATCGATATTCAGATGTGACACTGTACAGGAAGACAAACTCTGCCCTAATGATGCCAGTCATACTAAGGTTACAGAAGGATGTGCCATGAATGGCAGGGAGGGTAGCTACTATAGCACTCGTGCCTAGCAAAGGTTACAGAAGGATGTGCCATGAATGGCGGGGAGGGTGGCTACTATAGCACTCGTGCCTAGCAAAGGTTACAGAAGGATGTGCCATGAATGGCGGGGAGGGTGGCTACTATAGCACTCGTGCCTAGCAAAGGTTACAGAAGGATGTGCCATGAATGGCGGGGAGGGTGGCTACTATAGCACTCGTGCCTAGCAAAGGTTACAGAAGGATGTGCCATGAATGGCGGGGAGGGTGGCTACTATAGCACTCGTGCCTAGCAAAGGTTACAACTATCAGCATGTGTGAACAGACATCAAACTGTTGGGGAATAAGTGGAAGTATGGGGAGAGGGAAGGGAGAGGTGAAAGGTGTCAACACAAGGAACTTTGTTCGGTTGGTTCATTGTGATTTTCTGACCAAATGAGGGAATATTTTGTCACTGTAAATAGCTACAGACTATTCAGCACTGAATGGCAAAATGCCTGATGAACAATGTATTGGAATGAAGAGCTGTGGACTAATCAATGTAGTGCCCACCAGGGGGGGGGGGATTTTGGGGTGGCCGGTGACCCAGTTGCAACAGTCGAGAGTCTTTCCAACGGACTGGACTGATAAGTATCAGCTTCTAAGGGTTAAATTTTGAGGTTTTCTGTATAGTGGATGGATACGAAATGTCTGGAGGAACATGATACCTCCATCTTCAGGGTTAGTGTGTGTCTCCAGGACTCTGCTTCATGTATGGGCCAGTTAAATCCAATCCACATATTTACAAATCTGTTATCTAAAATCCATTTTCTACCATAGCCCACCTACTCTCATTTTCAAATGAGAACTCTCCTTCAGAATTCTCCAAATGAAATCCTGTACCATTCTTTGTTCATGCATGCTGACTCATCCCTGCTGACTTCATCATAAAAAGTGGGAGATTACCAATGGGGAGGTTAATAAGTTATTCTTAGCCAGCGCTTACAGTTCTGCTTTCTAATATGCAACTGAACTGAGTGTGTCAGGTCTCTTCCTCGCATCCATATCAGCAAGCCACATTCCTCTGGCAGGAGTTCAAGCAGAGATTACACTATTAAATCTCCATGAAAATCTATGAGCATCATGAGTGGTATAAATGTGAAACAGTGGAGCACCTGTAGCACACCTCAGCAAGCCACTGATTTAAATGGAGCAGTTTCAATGCAGTTCAATGCAACAAATGATATTGGAAAAGGAAATCCAACATGGGAATAACAAGCAGCTCCTTGAGAAGTTAAGAGCAGCTTAGCTGAGTCCTGAGTCCAGACTCTTTCTTTAACATGCATTTTGATCTTATCCTCCCATTTATGGCCTGGCCTCTCCCTTTACTACACCTCATCGAAATGTTGTGAGCACTTCTTGACTTCTTGCCTCTCCCATGCACACTGTGTGCCTCACTCCACTCATCCCCCCTAATTTCATCAATGTATGTTTGTCGAATGAGTCAAAATTGAAGCTGTGTGACTTCCCTCCACCTTCCAGTACTTTCCCTTTTTCAGCACCCCCCGTGGCATGTGTCGGTGTAAGCAGTCAGCCATTTAAAAATCATACATCTTTCATTATGGCAAGTGCAAGATAATTCTGTATGACCGTATGCCATTTCACTGTGACTGCCTTCAGGAAACAGCAAGGCCTTTCCTCAAACATGCTACATGTCCTATCTACACCCAACCCCCTCACAGTACTATCTGAACACAAACTCTGATTAGCAAGTGAATACCGGCTGGCATGCAAACAAAATACAAGTCAAAACCATTTTATTACTTGTGTTTAAAATGGCTTCCTGTTGATAAGTTACAGCCTTATGCCTCAAACATGAAGACAGAGCTCTCACAACTTGGCACGCCTCTGCAAATACTGTCACAACATACACATTGGTGTGGAATGGTCTGGCACAGGTAGGAACTATTATTAATTAGCACACGCTTTTACACATTCGTTGCAGTCTACATTCACCACGGTGTCAACACTGAGTAGTCTTCATGTCTGCTGAGCCCGTCGAGTTGGCGCTGCTAGTCCCGTTGCTCTGGCGTGCCACCACCCAGCCATTCGCAGCAGTTGGAGAAGTGGCAGCACTTCCATTGCCGATTTTGCTGTTCGGAGGATTGCGGCAACTCACTCGGGTGACTGGGACAGACATGACATGATAGTGAGGCTGCAAACAAGCCTCCACGTCGATCTCTGGGCGTTCGTCATCTGATCCGCCGTCCAAAGAGAAATCTTCAATGTCGCGTGTCACTCTCAGGGGTGTGGATGGATCATCCATCAGTTCTGAACGTTGGGGGGCATATAGTTCACGTCCCTCCTCGCTGTGGTAGAACGAAACTTTCACAAAATCAGGGGACACATCCGGCAGAAGCAGCTTCACCAATTCCATGAATGATGGGCGAGTCATCGGCTTGTGCTGCCAACACAACCTCATCAGCTGATACAGGCGATCAGGACAATTCTCTGGCCGCTCCATCACACCTCCTTCTATCACGTACCGCAGCACCTGGTCATTGGAGAGGCCCTGGAATATAACACATTAATGAAAACACTGACCACTCTCCAACCTTGCTTCACACAACCTGAGCAATGTAATCTAAAACCCAACAAACGAGATGGCAATGTGTTTCGGAGACACACAGGACAGCATCGCTGCTTTGACATACATGTCAATTCTATGAATACTGAGCAATCAATCATTTCATTACAAAAAACAATCTGTACAATACCATTAATGTAGAATCCACCTGCTCAGCTGCTAACAATTCACTGCTAATGGTACTGCTTTCACGCCTTTGTTAAGTTCAGACAAATTTTCAAACTGACAGATTTACAGAAAACTTTGCTTGAACATGAAGCACATACAGGTATGCCCACCGTAATTTCGTATATTCACTTTCCTACTTTCCCGTCAAGTATACTGCTGTAGTGGCTGTGGGAACTCTTAGACTGCTGAACCCAACACAAAGGCCTGACAAACTGGCAGTACATCCACAAACTACCTACAGCCGCTGTCAAGCAGGTATTCCGCCAGCCATGAGGCATCAGGAGCTGAAGTGAATATAAAGTGATTCACCTGGTAGGGCTGAGATGCCAGGGTAGCCATCTCCCACAGCACCACACCGTAACTCCACACATCGGAGTGGCTTGTGAACACTCCATCTTTGAGGCTTTCTGGTGCCATCCATCGAACTGGCAGCAGCCCCTTAGTACCTGCAATACACCAACACACTCAATACTGAACGGGGAACCGAGTGAGGGAGGAAGACTGCAGAAAATTAAGTACATCCCAACCTCACTGTCAGAATGTAGCATCATGCGACAGCGCAAATACAGCAGACAGATCTTCTAAAAATGAGCTCAAGTCCTGAAAACAATACTGACATACCAAAATTGCATTCATCATGAAATGAAGACCAAGACTGAACTGAGTGAATGCCTGACACCATTCAGTCCAGGGACTTAGGTCTCAGTGTGTGCTGTCTAAATGTGAACACTGAATCAGACAAAACTATAAATTTACCTGTAGTTGTGTATGGTCTGACTGGGGGTATCTGACAGTTTGGTACAAAGGAGTATTATATGGACCTAAGATGGAGAGACCTACTCTTTATACAATAATACTGGACTTATCAGATCAAGCCGGGCCACACCATAGCTCAAGCAGTTAGTCACTGGCTTCCTACCGCGGCAGCCCAGGTTCAATCCTGGGTCTGGTCAAGGGGGATTTGTGGTGGACAAAGTAGCGCTGGGGCAGGTTTTCTCCAAGTACTTTGGTTTCCCCTGCCAATCTTCATTCTACCAACTTCTCCACAATCACCCTCACCTATCATCTGGGGCTGGTACAATAGGCCAGAAGTGGTTGCAGTACAAGGGACTTAGTCCCACACCACTAGCATTAAAAAAAAAATCATATCAAGCTGCATGAACGACACAGGGCATGTAACATGAATGAGGCGCAACTGCCTACACAGTAGCTTGGGCAGTAAAAACTGAAATGAAGGAAGCTAGGCATATATCAAGGGGTAACATGAGCACCTGAATGGATTCATCCAGCTCACACAGTGTCCAGTGCTGGGCTGCTGTTAACACAACAGTGAACCGAACCTTCAAGTTTTATAAAATGCTTGGACTCTGGTGCATGGAGTTAGTGGCTGAGGAAGAAACAGGAACCTCAGTAGTTGATGGGGAACAACTAAAGAACCTACAAACAACACAGTGTTCTTACCCTTGCGGTAGTAGTCAGTTTCATAGATATCGCGAGTCATGCCGAAATCGCCAATCTTGACGGTGAGATCCTCAGCGACCATGCAGTTACGGGCTGCCAAGTCCCGATGCACAAACTTCTTGCCAGCCAGATATGCCATGCCATCAGCAATCTCCACTGCCATCTGCATGATCCGCTGCAAATCACGTGAATGCTGGTTCATTTACTGAGACAGGCTTGCTTCCTGTTGGTACTGCTAGGATGTGAAGAGGATGTACACTACGTCCTTGACATCCAAATGCTCAACTCACAATTTACTTTTCATTTTTAGCCTACTTTATATTTATTTTGAAAAAACTAAGGGTACACTTATGAGATCACTTTTCTCTCTCTCTATGTGTATCCAACCCCTCCAAAACATGCTTTACCAATCTGCCACCTGAGGCTATCCCAACAGCATACTTCATAAAACCCTCTCATCAGCAAGACAACAGCCAACGAAATTGCCGAGGTAATAACCTTAATATTACTTGAATGCCTCATCTGATCATCATGAGAATGAGTACGAATACCATGCCACCTGAGGCACTTGCAACAGCATACCTCGCAAACATCTCCCAACAATCATACAAACATAACAGCGGCTCAAATTCTCAATGTGGGAACCGTAAGACTGATCCAACACTCATTATTCATGTCACTGAGTCAAAAGTCTTACTTGCAACAAGTTTATCTAAAACTTATTTAAAAGTTTCTCCACATCACACTACAAGTTTCAACCAACACTGGTCATCACCGGGCATTTAAAATTGTCGAAGAAGGTTCTTGTGCCTCCATTTTGTAATTTCAGTACTTGATATGAGGTCCCAACTGTGAGCTCATGTATCCGAGACAGTATTGTCTTAATATCTTGTGTTCGTATTTTTGTGCATGATGTGTGTCAATGTTCTGTATGTTTACTCGCTTATATACTTACCCCAAAGCGATGGGTACTTCTTCCTGTAGTGTTGCACCTCTTTATATGAGTGTCTGTTCGGATGGATTGACTCCATTATTTATAGTGTGCATGGGTCCCTGTCTGGTGTTTATTTCTTGCACTGTTTTGAGTACTGGGTTGACATCAGTCTGTGCCTCACAGGCAAAACAGCCTCAATGCTTTACACTTGATACAAGGTCACATACAGGCAAGTAAATAACAACAGTAACTCGGGATATTCGAATCACATACTAAACAGTTCTCACATGTGGGAGCAAAGCTGACACAATGAAAATCAAACAAATAAATAAAAAAGGAAAACATCTAAATACAATATTTATAAAATTAGTCAAAATGGATTACACATGAATGATGCATATATTGATGTCAGTAACTCAATATCTGAAACATAATTAAACACCAGATGACCCATACACACTATAAATAACGGAATTGATCTGTCCAAGCAGACACTCATATAAAAAGGTGCAACACTACAGGAAGAAGTACCCATCGCTTTGGGGTAAGTATATAAGCGAGTAAACATACAGAACATTGACACACATCATGCACAAAAAAACTAACACAAGATATTAAGACAATACCATCTTGGATACATGAGCTCACAGATGGGACCTCATATCAAGTACTGAAATTACAAAATGGAAGCACAGGAACCTTCTTCAACAATTTTAAACGCCTGGTGATGACTAGTGTTGGTTGAAACATGTGGTGTGATGTGGAGAAACTTTTAAATAAGTTTAAGAAAGACGCGCTGCACATAAGACGGTTGAATCGGTGACTTGAATAATGAGCGCTGTGCAACAGGATGGCACAATATAATATTATCTAACATTCATTTCATGGATATAATACCCATCAGCCCTTCAATAAAACTCTTTTGTATTTACTGTGAAGAATAAGTTATCAAAATACAGTAATACACTCATGTGTTCACTACTACACATCATATAATTATATATTTATATAACCATGTACACAGTACTACCACAGAACTAGCGTAATCTGATTTACACAGACTGCCACAGGAGGTTGTGAAGTCAAGTGGATAAGAGAGCAAAAGGCAGGTTTTTGTCTTTTTTGGGGGGGGGGGGGTGATTTGATATTGAAACACTGGCTGACAACATCACATACATAAATTGTATTGCTACATACACAATTCAAATTCTATAGAAGTCAGTTTGACTTCATTACACATACATACCAAGTTCTTTTCTTGCTGCTGTATCAAATGCTCATTTACAAGGAAATACAGGTACGAAAGGAACAGAACAAGAGAATAGGCACAAGGCAAATGTATCAATTTGAAGTGCTGGGAGGGATGAAGAAGAAAAGACAGAGTAGGGGTGGAGATACAAAAGGATACAGGGAAAAAAGAAAACTTCAGTTGCCATGGCGATCTGGTGCCCAGAATTTGTGCAGGCCTGGTAACTGGAGTACAATATTCTCCAAATACATTTATTTGTTAGTTTTATCACCAAACTTATTTTGAAAAATCACAAGGGACAGGCAGAAGGTGGGAAATCGTGAGGAGAAAGGTCCTCAACAAGAACAGATCACAATCCAACTCTTGCTCCGCTTCATTCAAAATTGAAGGGAGCAGTCGGACGATATGAGGTACACCAATTCTCGTAACATATACCTTCAGGGTTGGGGGCTGTTTGCTGGGGTCTTCACACACATCTGGGCGGTGAGAGCGCAGGTATGTCTTAAGGTCCCCATGTGCCATTAATTCCATAACTACCAACACTGGCTGGCCCTGTGAAACGACGCCCAACAGGCGTACAACGTGATGTGTATTGAAAGCCCTGCAAACAAGAACATGCAACTGAATACTCAATCCATACTGTGACACACACACCTCACAACAGCAGTTCAACTGACAACAGAAATGTCACAAAATAAGAACTCTATAATGTAAATTAAAAATTCTCAAAACTAGAACTTGGTTATAACGTCATCAAAGGGACCTAAAAATAGTGTCTTTATAAACAATGTCGTTGTAACCGAAATGGGCACTTCCACAGTAGCCTTATGTTAGTCACGTAAAAATCTACCAAAAACCAAGTTAAAATGTTGCATTTTTTAGTGAAATACATAGTTAAGTACAGACTAACGTAACATTAACGTGGAATTGCCCAAATGTGTAATACATCAGCTTTTTTCCTTCCATTTTCTATTTCACGAATCACTTTAACTTTCTCTTCAATGCTTAAAACTTTCCTTTTCATTGCCATGTTTTTGCTACTGCACTTCTCTGGGTTTAGGCAGGAACAATATAGGGTAAGTAGACAATGTGAGGTCCTGTTAGATGAGGTTCTAGGAAAGGAATGCAGTTAACAACCTGCCGCGTCCTCTTGCACTATTCACGCAGTCCCACCCCACACCCTTGTTTTCGCATAAAACACACGCTCCTCTTGCAGCCCGCGGTTGTATTCTTCCAGGACAGTCACGTCAGCAAGTAGAGAAAGTGAGGGTGTGCAGACACATCGAACTTTCCCACGATATCAGAGAAATTCAGGAATGAAAATGACGTTACATACGAGGTTGATGCATTTGTGCATGTTGTACTAAGCAAGGTATAAAAACAGTTGCTTTATGAGGAATTAGTTCGTACCATTATATATTTGACGCAATAGACAAGGTGTCGCAGAAACCGATGTTGCTATAACCAAGTTTTACTGTATATTCATCCATTTCTGTACGTGGAATTTGGTGAAAATGTGGTGCAGAGGGAAACATTTGGACCCAAGAGGGAGGAAGTGACTGCAGGATGGAGAAAATGAGGAACTTACTATTTCAGATTTTTATCAAATAGTATTAGGATGTTCAAATTAAGGATGATGGCTGGGCCATGTAGCACACATGGGAAACAGGGTGCCCGCCCCTTCAGAAATAAAGTTCTGGTGCCACTCATGGGTAAACAGATTCCTCCTCCAAAGGTAGGAAGTTACGTCCATGAGCATAAGCAGGGTGTGGGAGAAACACTGAATGCTACACTCGCTCTGTCCAACCCTTTGTGCCGTCGTTTCAACTGCAGCTGTCCTCAACGCTCCACAGTTCAGTAGCAGGTAAGGTACAGTTGTCCTTGCACTTCACTAAGCACCATGCCATGAAGATGTATGGAGAAGAGGAGGCACAGTCCTGCACATTCTTAACCACAGCAGTAGATGGAGGTGAGTGACGGACTTCACACTAGAGCCACTTTGCACCAGCACCCATTGTACAGGAAATTGGGTGAACCCAGAGCCTGCCGGGAAACTGTGAAGTATTTCTTGCCCCTGCTAGAACAGAATCCTAAATCCTTGGTCAGACTGAGCCATCCTGAGCTTCAAAGTCAGCTCACTGTTTAATTCTGCCAATATATGATCTATGTTGTGATTATGTGTGCGCTAATAATATCCCCCTTGTTGAAAATAAGATCATTTCTAACCCACACTTCAGCGTCCTCCAGAAACCACAACAAAAGTGAGAAGGTTAGATATTCAAAAGGAGAACACTCACTTCATAACAGAAGCCTCGTTAAGAAACTCGCTGCGTTCTCGGTCCGTGGCATGCTCATTCACTGTCTTGATTGCACATGGCATCTCTGGACGACCTTCAACAACATCGCGCACGATGCCCTCGTACACCATCCCAAAACTCCCTTGCCCCAGCTCCCGGAGCAGCTCAACATTCTTCCTGGGCACCTCCCACTCATCTGGTTCATACACTGTCGGACAGAACAAACGTGAACCCAGTGACAGACAGGGTACAGATGAGAAGACAGGATGTGACAGGAGCATGGGGATTTGTACCCCTCACTTAACACTACTAGAGAGATCAAATCAAGGCTGCAATTAGCAGCTCGGTTCACAGTTTACAGGCAATCAGCAACAGAATAACCACTCAATAGTGAAATGGTAAGGATTTGGAAAAAAGCAATTCATGCCTGTGGTATAATATTTGATTTTTGAGTGGGGGGGGGGGCTAAGAAAAGCTAGCAATCACTCTGCACATAATGGCTGGTCTCTGAACCTGACAACCCCAGAACATGGAGGAGCAGTAACAGCTCAACTGCAATATTTGGTACAGGTGAGTTAGGTGGTACATGCAGCATGCATGAGGAAAATGAGGAATGTGTACAAAATTCTGCTTGGAGAACAAACTCTTGAAAGGCTATGTGGGAGTCCTGAGCATGGACCACGGGGAAAATATGATCACCTTAAGGCCACCAGTCACAGATGTGAAAAGCTGACTGAACTGGCACAAGACAGCATCTAATGATGGGACTGCGGTAGTTACAAAGCTTACCACCATAGCAACAAGCTCCAATGCGCAAGCTTCTGCTTCTGTGGGACATGAAGGTTCATCAACCATGTTCACAAGATTACAAAACAAGAAACACTTTAATATTGCTTCGTGTCTATTCCCAAATCTTCCTAAAATTAACTAATGCCTTGAGATTTCCAACCAAAATTTGAGCTGAAAAATAATTTGATTTTACATTCTTCTGCAGGCGAATATCAATATTACAATCTTTTCGGATACTTACCTGTACTGACATATTCTGGGTTGACAGTAGCAATCAACTTCACATTCGGGATCCCTGGCATGTATCTACGACGCAGATACATAACCACAACGAAGAGCATGCCCATCACTACCGCAATGCCGGACACAGCAGCAATCACGAATTCCAGACTTGAAGATGATGGATGCTACAATAAAAGGAAGGTAGTGCTGTCACTCTGAACACATCCAAACATGGCACCAGACGGAATGTGTGATGGCACGCCTTGCCAGAACCAACCTTTATGTAGAAGTAACGCAGCTCCGTATATTCCCCATATCCTGCAAGAGACATGGCACGCACGCGGAGGCTGTAGTTACCAGGTGGCAGCTTCTGCAGCTTGTACGAGCTTCCATTGTTGAGAAACTGACTGCGTGTGATGCACTCCACCATGGGACTGTACTGCATGAACAGAAGACACGCCCAACATTACGTACTGGAACGGGACAGGACAGTTTGGAGGCCTCTTGTCTGCATCCTCAGCTTTACATAGCACGTGGTACATAACCATTATTGGTCAGCAAGTCACCCTGAAGAAAGGGACAGGGCTGGGCTCCAAAATGCCCTTTATCTGTTTTGTCCATGCAATGGACTGGCACAGAACTTTTGCCTGTGAGTCAGGTCATGCAGAAACGTAACTGCATGTGGTGGCAGCACCCTCTTGCATGGCCATGCATGCACACAAATACAGTTCTGGGAATCCTGGTCGAGCAGTGTATCTACAAACTTCCCTGTGATGCAAGTGAAGCTAGAAATGTTGTGGCATGTGTAAGCTACACAATGCATACAGCTGACTGCAGGCACGGCGATGAGAAAACAATTGTTTTACATTACATAGAGTTGCCACTAAAACGCATAATGGCTGAAAATTCACCGGTTTGATGTGTAAGATCCTAAAATATGGTTCCATACTACAAATTTTCATAAGCACAGTCCAATTTACATGTTAATGATGTCAGAAATTTGGGTTTTACTTGGGATGTTAGCTGATGCTGAGAAAAGTATTCAGCACTCATACAGAAGCAGTGTACTGATATTCATTTAACTCTCTAACTCTTGCCTATTGGAAAATACTCAAAAACAGAAACTCTGGTCACTGGAGACAATTCAGAGAAACATTTCTTTTGGTTATTAGGAAGAAGGGAATGCACAGGTAACTGTGAGAGCTGGGCAATAAATACTGTTTGAATAATGTGTTCTAATTATAATTAAAATTATTACTAGCATTACACTTTATGGGTAAATACAATTACTCATAATAAAATGGAAGGCAGCAAAAACATTTACAGCTGAATTTAATTAGGTATTTGGTAATTTAAGGGCGGGCACGCAGTAGCATAGTTGGTTGAGGGGCTATGCTACAACCCAGAAGATCGTGGGTTAAAGTCCCAATGAGGTCATTGGATTTTTTTGAATTGACCTAATCTTTTAGCTGCACTATGGCCCTGGGTTTGACTCAGCCTCTAACAGATATGAGTACCTGGAATTAATTCATTGATCTTCCTGGGGAGTAAAGGGCGGCCAGCGCATAAGGCTGACAACCTGACCACCATCTGTGAGCAAATTGTCTAGATAATGTGGGACCCTCAACATCTCACAACCCTATGGGCTTTCATGGCCTGGTACAGGGATAGATTTACTTTACTTTTATCTGGTAATTTAAGAAAGCTCTGAACTAACAAAACAATTCAAAATCTGTATAAATGATACTGCTTAGAAATACCATATCACTTTAGAACCTTGGGGTTTACTACAAAGGGTTGCTTGGCTACTTATACCAAACGCATTCCTGTCAAAGCCCCATGCACACACAGACACGGGAGTATGTCGTATAGTGGTAACAGCCAAACAAATTTCCTTGACGCCCTATGGAGGTGAGCGTCCTTATACCGAATGAACAGGACACTCACATGAGAAACATTCTGGACATGGCACAAAAAAAGGGAAATTGTGAGAATTGGGCCCAGAATACCCATTCTGCTGACTGCACTATCACAGCTGCATGTTACCAATACTAACTCACATTGGGGTTTTCGATGCTTTTGTACTCAATCTGGTACGTGACGATGATGCCGTTTGGTGATGGAGGTTCCTCCCACCTAAGTCTCACTGTGCCAAGGGTTTCATTCAGCACTTCCACCATGAGCTTCAAGCTGTCCACATTGTCTGCACCGACTGAAACACAACCACAGCCTCAAACAAGTGTACATGCGCTCTGAATGGAGCGGTAACTACACAAATGTCTCTCTGCAAGATAACAGGCCTCACTTGTATCTTGGACATGAAACCTTCGAACCTCAGCTGGCACACTGCTGTCCCAACAGATTACTCGTGGTCTTCCTCAATCCCTCCAGTCAAATGCTGGGAGAGTACCTTAAATTACACCATGCCAGTTTCCTTCCACATCCTTTCTGGTTCATTATTCACCATCATCAAAACATTCGATACCATACAGTCCCAATTACTGACAGCATCATTAAATGAACTGCAAATAACTATTCAAATGAGACTGTTGGTATACAGACCGAGGTTCTGCAGACATTCTGTTCATTTCCCCCTAACAGAATAAAATCCACACCAATGATTTTAAATGCTTACACTCCTATCAACATTTGAAAATCTTAAAACAGTTCCTTTAACAATAAAGTGAAGGCCGCGCCATAGCTCAAGTGGTTAGTCACTGGCTTCCTACTGCGGTGGCCCGGGTTCCATCCTGGGTGTGGTCAAGTGGGATTTTTGGTGGACAAAGTGGCGCTGGGGCAGGTTTTCTCCGAGTACTTCGGTTTCCCCTGCCAATCTTCATTCCACCAATTGCTCCACAATCACCCTCACCCATCATCTTGGGCTGGTACAATAGGCCAGAAGTGGCCGCAGTACAAGGGACTTAGTCCCACCCCATTAGCAATAAAAAAAACATTAATGTGAGGTTTGGTCCACATTTCCGCAGAAGATAGGAGACAAATGTTTCAAAACAAACTCTATATATTCCAAGGATGATCCGTGAAATGCTGGATCAGAGGAAGATGATACTAAGAGACAGAAAAGTTCCATTTCATAATTCCTGTAATATGCAAAGTGGGTCAAATTCTAGAAAACATAAAAGGCCATAATGATGCATTTCATATAAGTAACACTCCATGAATGACATGGACTTACTGAGGGACAATGTGCGGCCCGTCTTGAAGCTCTTGCGAGAACAGTTCGATGTTGTGTTGCTAGGCTCCTCTGGCACAATCTCACGACATGCCTCAACAGAAATGGAGAACTGCGTGTAGTGAGACAGGTTCTGCACCACTATTTCCGTCTTCCCGTACACTATGTGCTTGAAGTTGTACTCAGGCTGGGCGGGCGGAGCAGCAGGTTCCGGAGACCTCATGTCCATATTCTCTTCAGTTGTATCTGGGTATCTGCACACAGAACCTCCACTCAGCCAGAAACATCAGTCACAAAGTTACAACGTAATGATTACAACCTTATTACATAAAAGGCTACCACGTTATTCTCTTGCTAAGTTTGTTTATGGTTATGGCAGTAGTTACAAACAGGAGCAGGCAATGACAGCAATGAACAACAGCGCAATGCACCTGTTGCCAGTACTGCAGTGTCCACTTTGCTGAAGATGGCAGCACTGCCTGATGCTCTATCACATTTACTATCCTACTACAAATGTAGCCAATTGGAGCATGTGTGCAGTTCATCTGACTGTGCACTGAACTTCTTCAAATACCAAAATTGTTACCAAGACCTTGCAATCAGTCACATAACAACAAAGAATTTGTAATCTTATATTCCTCGCTGATACAGGTTAATAAAAGATTCTGAAATCTGGCAACTGTGGCATACCTGTGAGGCGTGGTCTGATAGTCTGGATCACCAAACTCAGCTGGCTCTACAAGTTGTGGGGACACCATACTGCGCACCCCCAATGTTGTATCTTGCCACATGGCTTCAAGGTCACGCTTCCGACGACTCTGACTCGGTCTGTAAAAGATATTGCTGCATCTGTAGTCAGTAGCGAACACACACCAAACTGCACAGCTCCTCTCCCTGCGACCCCACAAAAACAATAAACACGTTCAGGCGAAACAGCTTCAAGTGGTGAGGGCAACAGATAACATGGCTTCACGACTCGAAAACATGCTAATCAACCGGCACGAGCAAGTATGAACTTTTCAGTTCAAGAATCTGGAAACACTTAAGAGTGATAATTCTCTACTAGTCAAATTTTCACTGTAATCATAATTTATTTTTCACCATGCACTAAAATGCACTGTTTATGCATTCTGATATTGCAACCCTTTTCTGTTAAAATTTCTATAAATCATTATCTGAAAAGATTCAATCCTAACCCCCCTCTGTTTGCACATGGTGGAAACAGAGGGGGAGAGATACTGCTGATGTCATTCTCAACCAGATGCTTCTGGGTGACAGGGCAGTTTGTGTGCTACTGTGGAATGCAGATGCAATCATCTGACAATCAGATATTTTTTTCTTGATTTGAAGTAAAAAACTTGAGACCTCCACACCCTTACTATTCACCATTTACTGCTGAGCATTCTGAGTGCTTATCACCTCATAGTGATAAGAATTGCCAACATTTCGCATGAACTAGCTGCCTGCTTTCATCCCCCAAAAGTGTTCATCACTCCTGACAAAGCACAGACTCTACAGTGAGCGCAGACCATCACGCAAACCAGAACTCTCCCCAGTTTGCTAATTTGGGAGTCAGCTGAGACTCATTTCCTTGGTATTTCAGCCTCATTCAGGTCTCTTGTAGCAGCCGGGTGAGACTGAGTCCATCGGTATCACAAGCTCATATGGGTCTGCAGTATGAGTGGGGACCAAATCCCTTGGTACTGTGAGCTCATGAGTCTGCAGTACGAGTGAAACAAGAAATCCTTTGTGTACTGAGGCCTAAAGTCAACTTACTGTACCAGACTCTGATGAAAGTTGAATGTAGAGCACTGGGAAAACTTCAATGCTCAGACACAAACTTGGCTTGATCCCCACTACTTTGACCACCATAAATCCCATATGGCATGAACTGAAGTGACAGTTCCACAGTCAGGAGCTGGTGACTAAGATCCTGCACTATGTGACTCACCGCTTGATATACAGGAGGTTGTGGAGTGAGTCCTCAAAGTGTATCTGAGCTGCCACCTCTCTCTCCTTCAGTTTTGTCTCCTTGCTGCTCTTATCATCCTCACACACACATTGGTCTGCCTCCTTTTTCTCCGCGCCGTCCACTGTGGTGGGCAGTGTTGGTTTCTTATCTGGTATGAGTGCTGAAATATAAACAATGCCTTCACTTGCCAAGTCAAACCAACATCAACGGGACATGAGACCAACGACACAGAGGTTCAGAGCGGGTGAGGCACTGCGGTGGATCAGACAAGAGCATTTTTGAAAGGTAGAACAAAAGGGGTAAAACCCAGATCAAGAGGGCTGCTAGCATGCAGAGAACAATCTGCAACAGCAGGAGGCAAAGGTCAAATAACAGAGAGGAAGGGCAGCTGTTCTAGAGGAGGCTAAAGTTCTTGGCGGACTGCAAGGCCAAGGAGTGAGTAGGCAACACAGACACGAGTCAGTGGTCAGCTACACAGTGTGACTGCTCTACCCCCTTGGTACCTGTTAGGGCACCATCCCCGCAAACCGTGAGTAATGAACAAGTACCACTTGATACTGAGATACAACTGCAGAGGGCGTAACATGTTATGATGTCACAGCTACTCACGCTCGCTGCAGTAGTTGCGCTGGTCCAGCATGCTCTCGTCATCCTTGATCCAAGTGCCAATGACCACATAGTGGGTAACATTGCCATTTGGCTCCTGGGGTGGCTGCCACTTGATGGTCAACTCAGTGCTTGTGCTTGTGCTCACGTCTAGTGCCATGGGTGGAGACGGGGCTGTAACACGAACATGAATGAGAAAAGATGGAATGACTGATGAGTTGAATCTGTATAACTAAAACCATTACAAACACACATCAGTATCAGAGTCAGCCCCACTGAAGTGGAGACCAACATACTAACGAAGCGGCAACAGATCCCAAACACTGCCAACTCTTATCACAATCACCACACATATCGCACCCCCTTGACTACTACACCTGTGTGCCCTGATCACCTGGAGAGCTATTCTTCAGGCAAATAAAGAGTTTATAATAATAATTATATTAAACATGGAAATACACTGTGTGAGCAAAATGCAGAGTTTCTATCAGCTAACTTTACATGTTTTTGAAGACTGTAATAACAGAAACTGGTGTTACTTTGGATGCTAAGTTTCCAAACACATTTTGGAAACAGACCCAGTTTCTGAAACAGTCTGAAAAAACGCAATACAATGGACAATGTCCAAGTGAATAGCCATGCTCACTGGAATGTTTTCTTACTTTACAACTGGTACATATAATTACGCACCACACTTTAAAGGACGAGACTACAGTCTTGTGTACACATACCCACCACTAAAGGAAGCAAAAGTACTTACAGGCAGGTAGAGTGCGGAAGTACTGTATGGGACTCTGTGCGCCACTGCGCTCCGTTGCAATGGTGTATGTCTTCACATAGAACGCATACTGTGTGTACGGCTTCAAGTGAGTGAGAATGGTGATGGTCACATTGACTGCCATGTCCTGCACGTGCCACCCGTCACCGCCGCACGCGTCCCGTCCATCATACAAAGTCAGGTTCCGGAAAGGGGCCTCAATGTAGTAGACAACATAGCCAAGCAGCGTACGTGGGTCGTAGTGCTCAAACTGATCCCACTCAATGAGCACCGCGTAGTAATCGAGCTTGGTCACACGGGCACGCAGCACGGTCACGTTACCTGCAACACACGGCACTGTGTGACACAGTAGCAGACACTATGAATATTGCTATCTCAGTGTTGCTGATGCTTCAGACTGTACTTACATGCGACCTTATCTCCGTTGGAATTGGCTGCAACTTCAAGGTCAGTGAAGTCTGGCAGCTGGGCTACTTGCTTCAGCTTCTCAATCTTGTACAGGCACAACTTCGGGTTGAAGTGAAAGAACAGGCGACCATTCACGATGCGCAGGTCCTCTGGGCGTGTGTTCCAGTCCCAGAGCTCTTGCAGATTTTGATTGTCCAACAGCACGAATGAGTACCTGCACGCAAATCAGCACGTAAGCGTAAAAGGGTCAGACTGCAGACACAGCGGCACCTACATCCACCGGTACACTTACTTGCCACTGTCCAGAGTCTTGCCATGAATCACTCTTAGTTTGCGCAGGAAGTTGAGCGAAATGAGGGGGAAGGAGCGTACGATCTTCAGGTAACCCTCAATCTCCTCCACCATGCTCAGATTCTCATCAAGCTCCTTCACAACATTCTCTGCAATGCACATTTCATGACACTGTATCAGCTACATCACACAGAGTGAAGATTCACAGCCTGTACTCTTCATGAAGTAATTTAACAATGCTCTTTCAACTGCAGATGATATAAAACTACTGAATAACATGGGAAGATGATCATGAATAGTGAAGAAACCAATGTTTGAAAGGTGGCAATCATGGTCTGCAAGGAAAGGCAAGGAAAACAGAGCAAATATTAGGGATTAGGCAGTGTGGAGCACCAAAGGAATAACGGCTGGCAGGGGAAACAGTACCACATTGGGTACTACACCAACTCTGCCAGGTTTGAGGCAAGAAACTGCCGTCTAATTGGCTGGGGTGTTACTGTCTTCATATTGAAAAGTGATTGAATGAACTGAACTGGCTCACGACACAGGTGTTCAATACTCACTGCCTCCACGGATCTGAATCTCAAGTGATCCTTTGATGTATGTGCAGCCACGCATCTTCTGGGCAGCCGCGATACTGTCCACACTCACGCCCTGGCACTCCTTCCGACATGGTCCTGCCAACACAGACAGCACACACTGCTCAACATGGTCCAGCATAATCCTCACTTAGTATGTACGTTGCATCAGACTTGCTCACCTTTACTTCTGAACAGCTTATCATACAGAAACTGGTACATACAATACAGACCTCATTAAGATTTCATACATTTTTCAACACAGCAAATAAACATACACAAGGCTGTGTGCATTGTGATGTGTCAAGCACTTAGGTCTGCAACAGATTTATCACTATCTTCACAGTCTTTTCCAGCATTAGGGCACAAACCTTTCTTTCATTTCAGGGCTTTCCAAACTTCACTTTCCTTTTGGTCAATATTTTGTTAACTGTCACAGCTCATTCTGCACTGTTCTACTACGCATGATATTTGCTGAATTTATAGACCTCTCAGTCTGAGGCTGTATCCCATATTCCCCATAGAATACGTTCCCTCATTGCTTCTTGCTGTACATGCCCCTCTGTCTCTAGCAAACACACTGCAAGTTCATATTCTCGTATGCATAAAAACAAATCATGGTTTGAGATAAGGCAAAAATGATAAAGGTATCCCTGTAGCAGGCCGTGGAGGCCCACTGGGTTGTGAGACATTGAAGCTCCCATATTTTCTAGACAATCGGCTCACAGATGGCACTGAGGATGTCAGCCTTATGCGCTGGCCACCCTTTAACACCAGGAAGATTCCTGGTACTCATTTCTGTTAGAGGCTGGGTCAACCACAAGGATATAGTGTGTCTGGAAGGATTAGATAAATTGAAAAATCCAGTGACCTCATGGGAATTGAACCTGTGACCTTCCGGCTTGTAGTACATTACCTCAACCAACAATGCTAAAACATGTCCCAAGGGTTTTTAGGTACAATTTATAAATTCCCAGTATTTTGGCATTAAGATACAAATTCTGCATTGAGACCCTCTTCTCTGCCTTGACACATTACATCCCAAAGAAGGGTATTAATTTGGGTGTCCCAGCATTAATGCACAACCCGCCTCTACTCTAGTTGATCCAGTCTCTCTAAAAACCATCATTTAATGTTTTCAATACACATCTCCATGAAACTTCTGCATATGACCTTCGGGTTTTACACGCAGGATTGGACTGCTGACAGACAGTGCATGTCACTTCATAATGCTGTCTGGCAATGCCACGGCTGGCAGTACAGCTACGTGCAACCACGATCACATCATAGTGTCATGAGTACTAGCACTACCACCATGTAACACTATCAGACAGGTCACCATATATGCCAACGTTAACAATGATTCAGATGTAACCTCACACCACTCACCGGAGCAGCGGATGCAGGAGTACTTGTTAGGTGCAACCTCAGTCTCCACGTACCCGGCAGGACACTCCAAGATACAAGAGTTATTGAACGGTTTATAAGGCTTCAGGCGGAGTTCATAGTTGCGTTCACGCGGTCTGCTCATATTCCGACACTCGTCTTCACGGATGCAGCGTCGATTTAAATACTGAAAGAGATCAAGTATTACTAATGCACAACAATGTGTGAACGCTTTATCAGGAGCACAGGTTTGATATAATGCTGAATAGTAGGATGGAATTCACCTCCACAGTCTAGGAACTACTTTCTTACATCCCCAGTAACACAGGATGGGTAGCTGCACCACAACGAGGGTTACCGTGTTAGTATTGAGTAAATGCAACACCCAGCCAGCTGCTCCCCTTGCATGTACCATAAGAACAGTGTGACACATGGCCAACGAAGGTCACTAACTCGGGTAAGAATGCCTGTCATCGTCTCTACCAGACCACACACACTGTTTCACAGGCAATTCAAAACACAAGTCAATTTTTCTGAAAGTGGATCATGACACACACAAATTGCAGCCTTGAGGCATAAGACAATGCTGTGAATTACTGAGCAATGTAATTCTATTTGTCACAGTGTTTCCCATGCCAAACTGGCACACCAGTATTTCCCATACATGCCACTTCAGATGTGCCTTTGCACGTGACACTGTGTAGCGCATCAACATTTAGACTGAGCTAGTGACTCAAGTGTAAACACTTCTGACTTCCATATGGGAGGTGCTAGGTTCAAATGTCAGCTGGAATACTGACAATCCTAACAAGGTTTTTGTGGCTTTCTCCAGTCCCTCCAGACTGAAGACCTGAAAACATAGGCAGGATGTTCCTTCAAATGCTGGTGACTCTAGTCATGCATTGTTTACTGAACAACAGTGTTGGCAGCTGAGGCTACAGTGTTGTCTGGTGGGATGATGCAGGAAGCAGTCACAGCCCTGATGGAAGCAATAAGTATATCCACAATGTTAATAGCCACTACCAAAGTACAGTCTGTCACAATCTGTAAGACCACATTCTGGAAACTGTAGTGAAAAACCTCCAATGTTTTACCCTCCCTTCTGTAACACTTCCCTCCCATGTCACAAATCTACCAGAATTTCTAAGTCCTGATAATTGTCCTGGGTAAAAAGCTTGAAAATATTTCAACTGCTACAAAAGTCACTTCCTGTTGTCAAGAATCATTTAAAATAATAATAAATAAAAGCGACATGAAAGAAGGACAGTCTGCCAGATATACAACAAACAACATATTGAGGCAGGAAGAACACACAAGGACAACTGTCATGTGCATGTGTAGACTGTACTGTTCATGGAAGAGGATGGATAGCCTTCGCAATTAGTCACTTATTTTACCTTGTATGTTTGGGCAGGACACTGCTTCAAGCACCTCTTCTCAAACACGACGTCACGGCACGCCACACAATCTTCAGGTGCAGGTCCTGTGCAACCCCCCAGGCAGAACTCATGACAGCACCGTCCATCCGACATGCAGGTACTGTTTCCACAACTGTCAGGGCACACTGCAACACATTCACAAGATGAGTATACATCACAAGTTTGGTACAAGATGCCAATTAGAGGCCAATGCAACAAGTGGACAGTCTCACACCAACCCACAGAGCTAACAAACACTTTCAGGCAGTCTGACACTTCCTGTTCTTCCATTATCCTGGCAGTGGTCAATGCCAAATGGTTTGTGGCGTAGCCAAGCTGCTGCATGTAGCCACGCTGCTGTCACATTCAGGGTGAAGAGCAGTGGATGGAGTACGTCTCACAGTCTCCTCAACCCCACAAAACTTGGTTCTCAAATGGGCCTAATGTACCAGCCCCCCCAATGACAGATGAGTAACGAATTGGCAGGAGAAAACTTAAAGTTCTCACAGAAGAACCAACCTGCCACAGTGTCTCTCTGCCCAGCACACTTCCACATATGGGGCATCCTGAAACTGAAGCCAGGCCTCTGCACTGAGAATCCAGCAACCAAGAAGCAGCTCGATCACAATGCTCCAGTTCCCCCCCCCCTTTCACCCACAAAATCGTACCTCAGTGTGTGCCAAAATGTAAGAAGAGCTTCAAAATGCAGCGCAGCTAAACTGCAAAAATGTGACAGTTACTGTATACTACGTCTGTCCAATAAAATTCAGGAAAACTAATTAATTACAATGAGTAATGAACTAATTAACATTTCCACTCACCTGAAAAGTAAGTGACAATACTAATTTCAAGATCACGCATGCTAAAATTGTTAAGAGACAGTGAAGGTTTGTCAGTACAGTGACTACGCTACAGAATTACGTCCAGAGGACCACGGTTCAATTCTTGGCAGGGACACCGTGTCCATACTGGCTCTGCAGTCTATCCAGCCTCCTATCCAATGGGGACACAGGGCTCTTTCCTTAGAGGTACAGCACCACTAAATAACAGCATATAAATTGAGAGAAAGCACTGCTGAAACTACTTCCTTCCCTGTATTGTTACAAGGCGCACTACATAAATCTGCTGACTGTCTCTCAACTCACCTTTCTGACATTTCTGAAAGTTCCAGCAGAGGGATCCTTTGATACTTGAATTGTGGCACTGCAACTTCTCGTGTGGGCACATTGGGCATTCATTCTGAACTCTGTTGCCCTGGAAACACAGTTGTATCCTTCATCAAGCAGTGATCCTGCTAGCCTACAGCTTTCTTAACTGGAGCATAATAATACAGTCAGCATGTGAACACATGGCACACCCCTCTACAACTTGCTGTAGAGACAACAAGTCCATCGTGGGAGCACAGCACCAACAGCCAAATGAGAGGCAAAGAGCATCACAATTGAGTGAGGAGGTAGGTGACAGCTCTGTTTGTGCTGCAGTGGGACTGGCCCATCAGATGCAAACACTCGAGAACTACTGCCCCACAACGCGCTTATACGTCGCACAAGCAGCTACAGCAGCACCTGGCTTCCAATATGATAAAACGTTTTATGAATATGATGAGGCCACAGAAATAAGTCCCATGGATGGTGTGGGTGATGGCATTCCTGAATTCCCTTCCACACCCTTCTGGCCTATGTCAATCATCCAAAACCACCTGCTGACAGCAATGATTATTACTATCAATATTCAAGTGAACAGAAAGGCTGGGTGGGAATACGGGGAAAAAACGCTAGCAGTGAAGTGTTACTGCTTGAGATGTGGACGGACATCTTTCTGTGCCCTCAGTATAGTGGAAGGGCAAATTCCTTGCTCAAGATTTTCTGTACGTAAACGACAAGCCTGCTTAATTTTTGACCTTATGAATATTTATGTCCACTGATAAATTTTCTATTACCTGCTGCCATGACATCACAAGCAACTGGTCATGATCCCGAGGTAACTGAACAGAGAGACCAGCATGCTGCTCCATGACACAGAGTCCGTGAAAGGGTTATAAGTTCAAGTTTTTCAAAAATTTGTCTTGGATACATACTGCAATTGAAGGGTGCCCCGCTTTAGCAATCAGGTCCCAGTTCACAGTGTCCACAAAACAGAGCAGAGGGTTCTTCTCAATGCGCACACCACCTCGTAAGATGTCCGTCAGTGAGTAGAGGCCCAGCTCCTGCAATATGACAGCAAGTTTTATACATCACACAACTGTGTTGCTGAGCTGCATACTTCAGGCAGAGAGCTGTCTAGCTATCTGAAGAGTACAGCCCTCAACTGTACATGACAGAAACCTCCATGCCACTGCTGCAAGAGCCTCACACCTCACCAACTGCTGCACGAAGCTCCGATGGCCTCTCAATAAGACCCTTACATCATGATCTTCTTTGGCAACTGGAGAGCAGCGCCCCAATGGTGCGAGGAGTTCTCAAATATAACACCCTACATTAATGATGAATATGTAACAGTAAACTGGGCAGAACAATACACTTCTTGCAAAAGAGAAGCCACATTTTTATTATGATGGGACAGGAGATATTTGTTGACAAAGTAACAGGTGGAACACAAGATGAAACGAAAGGTTGGGACACCACAGCAAGGGGAGGGGGTGGAGGCGCACAGCAGGTTCTTCCAGAAACACTGGCACTCCCTTGTGAGACCTGGGCTGCATCATGATTTAAAGCTTTTCTGGACTGTCAAGCCCCGAGCCAATGCTGTGCCCTGAGGAACAGATAAACCGACTACACAGCAAGGAAAGGAGGAGACTGGAGGGGAATGGAGGACAGAAGAAACGGTAACAATGGAAGGAGTGACAGAAAGAAACATATTAATAAAATGAGTTAGAACTTAGAGAAGCAATGAGGGGAAAAAAACGAGGAAGATACAAAGCTGTCCCTATGCTGAATTAAGCACCATGCCATAAGGATGTATGAGGGAACAGAGGTGTAGCTCCATGTATCTTTTCAACTTCAGCTTCATACACCGAGCACTTTACTAGCCCCCCACCCCAGAGAAAGAGCCCCTTGTAGTGAATGAAAAGGCGGCTGTCTAGACACTGAGAAGAGAAAAATCTCATGCCGCTGTCAGCAATTGAACCTGGATTCGTCGATCATCCAGCAAAGGAGGGTGAAGTAAGACAAAAGGACTGCACAAATTAATATAACAGATAGAAAATGACAAAGAGAACACAATGCAAAGCAGAGAAGTTGGCCCAAGTGGCAACGCTAACGTTCTACATGGTTCCCCTCAGGTCCTCCAGGCACATGACCCCAAATTAAAGTACATCCTTTCCAGAACACAGGGATGCGGATCCAGCATCTGCCTGGAGGGGCTCAGGATACCCAAGACACTATACTGTTACCTGCAGGTGGATCATCTCGAAGACGACGAGGGCGTAGTTGAGGAACAGCATCTCCCCGCGGATGACGGTCAGGTTGGGGAAGAGTTTGCCCAGAGACCGGAGCCCGTTGACGCGGTACAGCAGCAGGTAGTGCGTGATCTCGCGGAGTTCCGGGAACGTCAGGTTCGAGAAGCTGCTTTCCGTCGCGTGGTCGATCAACACGATCTGCACGAAGCCCTCGACCACGCGGCACCCCGACAGGCGCCGGAAGGCGGCCACGCTGTTCCGGATGTCAACACTCTGGCACACTGCGAGCAACAAGATGGCCGCCACTTGTACCCGAGAACATTGCACTGCAACCATTATCAGGGCATGGGAGTGGGGATCTGCCACCCTCACCGAGGATTTTTGGAAAAATCAAAACCGAAACAAAGAACAAAACCTTCCAAAAATTAAAATACAATTTTAATGGATTCTTCTGTCCTCAATACTCCAGACCAATCAGTAAAAATACTGTATGACGGCTTAAACGCTACGCGAACCTTATGGCTACTCTCGCGCCCCCTTGGAATAACGTTCTGGTGGAGCCCAAGGACATCAGGTTCCTACCTACCAACTAGGGGCACACAGAAGACAGCAATACAACATTTACCACAATGAGAGCCACACATTTCTAACGCCGAAACCAACCGAGTGGTTTTGTCTCGAACCCCTTCGAGCTCAGCTTGTCAGCCCGTCACTGTGCCTTAACCTGAGCCAGATAAATCCAGGCCACATCTTCCAACCTACTCCTTTAACTTCCATTTTACTATTAGCTTCACATCTGCGCTTAGATCCTCCGTGTGGTCGTTTTCCAACGCGATTTGCGATCAAATTTCCTATTTTTTCCTCATATATTACAGTCGGTAAAAACATATACAGAATGTCGCAGAGGCAGGGTCAATATTCTGGGAGATCAAAGGATCTGTTATTCTGAGCAAGAAAGTGTACAGGTACACGTGTCCTATTCCGAACGGTTTCCGCGACAGAGCATTTCATGTTATCGTCCGCATAAAGAAACGCCAAGATGCACAAGCCATGTCCTCACACGAGCTGCAAAGGGCACTAGGTAAACTGTACCAACTGCCACTTGAACAGTAAAAACCGGTTTTGGAAACAGCAGGTAATATCTCTTTGTTATCAGCAATTTTGGAACTGTTCGGAACAGGACACATGTACATACACACCTTTTGCTTAGAATACCCTCCCAAAATACTGACCTTTCTTCCTGGGACACTCTGTACATCTGGATACACAATATCAAGTCCCGAAGACCACAATTTAACTACTCCAAAATTCCTTGCGACAAGCTCGTAAAGTGTTTTCAAATACCTTCATCTACGCCATCGAACAGACCACAACTCAACAATTCGCAACACCATTTTACATATTGTCATTTTGGCCACAGCATCACACGTTCCCACGGCAAATTCGAGCGGAACTTCCGGCCCGTCAGGCCAGAATGTAAAGACCAAGATATGCAGAACTATAGCCTTGCCTGCTGTTTTGTATGGATCTGAAACAGGTGTCTCACACTAAGGCAGCGGCTACACGAGCGCATAAAATGCGTCCGTTGTAACGAACGTACGTTGCTGAGGACACCACACAGCTGCACAATGCGGCGCGTAGTTTTTTGTCTGCAATGGAGCCAGAAGAAAGCGTAGCATTCGTCTCTAGTGCTTATTTCTATAACGGACGCATTTTGTGCGCTCGTGTAGACGCTGCCTAGGGGAAGTGCTGAGGGAGTGAAGCAACAGGAGCACGGAGAACATGGAAGCGTCGTCGTCTATACTCTTACAGTGGAGATGGACATGACGCATAGCACGCACAAGATAAATGATACAGGGATCTGTTCCGGGAACCTGACAAGGCGACTTGGATAACGCTACTAAATTGGACCTTACAGAAACGGGGTGTGGACTGGACTCGTGTGGCTCACGGAAGGGCCAACAGTGCGGCTCTGCTCAACAGGGCAACGAACCTCTGAGGCTCCACTGAAACGGGGAACTTCCAGCTTCCCAAAGACTCTGCAACCATTCGCCGAATTTCACCATGATCACGTAATCCAACATGGCGGGAGCACTGTATTGGCAGAGCGGCGCGTGGCGTGTATCGATCTATCGTCCCGTCCGCTCGACCTATTGACCTCGACACAAATATTCTGGAGAGACTGTGCCGGTCCAGGGGTAAGAATATGAACTTCCGTAAGGAAGTCTCGGGTTCGACACCTAAACACGCCCATGATACCGAGCGGGTTGGCGTAGAGGTCACATTCTACAGGTGTCTTATGGAGGCGATCGGTTAGAATCTCGGTTGGGACACCGGCTGCCGTCAACGAGGTCTTCATCAGGCTCTCCCGACAAATTACATCGCTGTCATGACCGCTTCCTTCCCGATCCTTTCAAATGAATCAAACATCGCACCATTCAGCGCTCCACAGTGCCGCTGAATAAGCGGTTCGTAAGCTGAGCAACGGGCGTTCTTTGCAACCCAAACGTACATCCTTACTTCCACACGGCCTTCCTGGGGGGTTCATATTCGTGTTCTGTTGGGGCACAAAGAGCAGCTTCACCTGTACCCCTCATCTAGCAGCAGGATATGTGTGGGGCATGTAGCATGTAGACGGGAGGCTGTTAAAATGGATCCTACAGAAATAACACTGAAGGACGTAGGGTAGAGTCCAATGGTGGGGTTTCTTGTACACGGTAATGAACCTTCAGGTTCCGCAAAATGCGGGAAACTTTGTGAGCAGCTTGGCGACTGTTAGCCTCTTCAGAAGTTACATAATTTCTTGAGTACCTGAGCAACTATTAGCTTTTCACGACGGATTTCGTTCCGTGCAGTTTTAAGATGTACTGACACGAACAATGAACAGCAGTTGCGAGATGGAAACTTATGGTCCCGAGTGCCGCGGAACCCGGAGCCAAGAATGACTGTGCTGGCGAGGACCAGCAGCAGATTTACCGGAAGAGAACTGAACTAAGCTTTATTACACACACGCCAGGCTCCAAAGTCTACCCACATTTCACACGTCTGTTGATGCGTTCCGATGCGAAGTCCTAGCAACGCTGTCAGGAGCGGGGGTTGCCCCTAGCGACATATCGCGAAGTAATTCACACTGCGATACATATCGACCGTGGCGAGAGCCTCGGCCGGCGTCCACGCCATTTCCAAGAACGCCACAGAAGTGACGCCGTTTGTTGGTGCACAGCAAGCAGTTGCGGGGCAGTGGTTGCAGTGTACTGACAGCTCGGAGGAAGGGAAGGTGACGCACATAACCAAGGCCGTTACAGCGCAGTCAGTGGCCTCGACCAAATTCACTGCGCATTCTGTTGAGAGCGGTCAGGTCTAACAGCGTGAGACTGAAGCTAGCAGTCAAAGTCAAAGTTATGTTAACGGTAAGTCGGCCAGTTTGTCTTACTTTCAAGCCCCATCTGGGGCCCAAGACCAGATTTCTGTTACTGTCAGGCACGTGATTTACTGATGCGGGACGCCTTCTCTGACGAGAGGACTGGTCTGTCGTTTACAACTGCTGCTGGCCCTCGCTAGCGCAGCCATTCTCGAGTCCCAATCCAGTGGGAATCATGACAATAAAATGTCTCAGATTCGAGACTCCCCCAAATTCGAACACCAGGTCCCCGTATTTATATCCCCTAGGAATATGGTGGCCCAGTTACACCCCCAGGCACTGGACCCCCTTTTCGCCGCCTCCTACGAAGGCCTCATCCCGAAGATGGCGAGTGCAACGCACGCCGAAACCTCGAACAACTTCAGCAGAGGACGCGGCTAGCCCGAGCTGCGGAACCAGCGAAACGCGCCGCTCACTGGTGGCTCAGGTGCACGGCCAGTGTCCGCAAAGCAGGAAGCTAATTCACAATGAGCCGATGAATATAACAAGATGTGTGAAATTCTAACCGTGATTACAGTTGTCTTAATAACGCCACTGCGCTACTGTACAGATCTCCCAACTGCTGGGTGAAACAGACACATCGTGTGAACCGCGCTCAGGATCTCTTCCCCGAATAGGAAGCCACCTGTCTGGCACGTGTTTACGCTCAGTCAGTAGTCATTTCACTGCCCACGGCGTCTGCGTTGCCTTGGAAACCACCACGCCCAGCTTCTGCGAACAGAGCCTGGACACGACGCGCCGGTGCACTCTAAATCAGGAACCCAACCCGCTGCTGCGTCGCGGCGTCGTGCTTCAAACGTTCCAATCACGGTCATAGGATTCTCGAAGTTTTCCTCAGGCTCCTGGGAAAATAGTTGGACTTGCAGTCGTTATAACACCGTGTCATTCGGAAAAAGCACGACGTTTCGGAAGAGCATACCGCGCCACGCCTGATCTTCCAAGCGCGGTTTGATCTGATTGCCGCCTACTTCTTGCTTGGCTTACTCTTCGACCCTGAAGATGGACACCGTATGTTCCTCCGAAACGCTATGCCGTTTCTATACATTAAGCAACTCCGGCTCCTTTCCACATTCACATTCCTCTTGTCACTGCTGACTCACTTCTTGAGAAGCTGCCAGTTGTGTAGCTACTCAAGAACTTCCCGGCATTTTATGGAACCCGAAGGTTCATTACCCTGTTCACAAGAGCCCTCCACTGGTTCCCATCCTTACCCAGAATCAATTCAGTCCATACCACCCTTACCTACCTATGATCCACTTTAATATTATCAACTCACCTACGTCTTGGTCTTCCTGGTGGTCAATACACACACTGGGGAATTGAAACTAGGCCCCCACGCCCAAGCACGAAGCCAAGATGACGCGTTGGCTTCTCATATAAAAGTCTCCTAAGCATTCTTAGCCTCGGTAGCAGATGTAAGCATGTCGTCTGCTCCACGCTCCGGCAGAACTTTCTCAGTTGATCAAAACGTAAATAAACCAAGATCCCATTACAAAGAAGTCTGGGAGAGAGCAGGCTCAAATCCACAAAACATATAACATTTCGTCTTACAACGCTTTATCAACTGCGGAAGTTATACAGTTCAGTGCTACGAAACGAACTGGTAAGGGCATGCAAACGGATCAGCGCGCTTGCCTTGGAGGGCATGACACGTGACCCGGATGTTACAAATGTGGGCTGCACCCCAAGACACCAGGACGAGGTCGGTTTTGTAAGGGCACCGGAAACGGGGTGGTGTGACACAGTGTACTCTGGTCGACGTTTACAGACTATTCGGAAGAAGTTTCCATCTTCAGGGCTGCAAAGTATGCCAAACAGTAAGCACTCTGCTTGCTCTTGCACCCTGAAGATTGAGGCAGT